ATCACTGTTGCACTACATGCTAAGTAACTTGGATGTAAATTAAAAAAAATAATAAAATAAAATAAAATAAAATAATTAAAGTAAATAAAATAAAATAAAATAAAATAAAATAAAATAAAATAAAATAAAATAAAATAAAATAGAAGAAACCAAATCTACTGACACCTTGATCTTGAACTTCTAGCCTCCGGAACTGAGACAATAAATTACTATTGTTTAAGCCATCCAATCTATGGTTACTCTGGTATTGCAGCCCTAGCAAATTAACACAATAGCAAAGAGACAATAAAACCTATGTTCACACAAAAACTGTATACAAATGTTCACAGCTGCAATATTCCAAATAGCCAAAGAATGGAAGTAGCACGCATCCATCAACTGATGACTGGATCAAAATTTGGTATCCTGATACATGCTGTAACACGGAGGAGCCTTGAAAATACCAAGCTAAATGAAAGACGCTAGATACTAAGGACCATATGTCGTATGATCCCATTTTTATGAAATATCCAGAACAGGCAAATCTTCAGAGACAGAAAACAGATTAGTGGTGGCCAAGGGCTGAGGGAAGGAGAGAAAAGAGATCACTTATTGGGACCACGATAATGGAGAGACAGCTCCATCAGAAGTGATGGAAATGGGGCGTCTGGGTGGCTCAGTCAGTTGGGCGTCCAACTCTTGATTTTGGCTCAGGTCATGATCTCACGGTTTGTGGGTTCGAGCCCCACATCGGGCTCCATGCTGACAGAGTGGAGCCTGATTCCCTCTCTCCCTCTCTCTCTACCCCTCCCCTCCTCACATGTGCATGCTCTCTCCCAAAATAAATAAATAAACTTAAAAAAAAAGTGATGGAAATGTTATTAATGATGAGCATTTAGCACAATTTGAGGCTGAAGTTTAGTGCAACACTGTATCCTAGATCAGTCAGTCTTAACAGTTTGCCTGCTGTATTTGTAGTCACCATTTTCCTCTGGACTGTTTAAGCAAAAAAAGGTAACTAACTCCTTCATCTCCTTTCGCACTTATTTGGAAGTTTTAGTTACAGTGTTTAACTGGCATGGATGGATAAAGTTGGAGTTTTATTTCTAAGAAAACTTCACAAGCTAACTTCCACTTAATCCATTACCTCTATCTTACTGAAATGTATAGTCAAATTAGCTGAAGGAAAGATTTGTAGGACTAAGTTGCCAAAGCACTTCATGGAAACTAACTTACTGTTTCACGTTGATCTGCATATTTCTGTGTTTCGTCATGACAGTGCTTGCATGCTATCTGGTGTACTGAGCACACACACAAAAAAATTTCCATTTTAAACAAACGACAACAAAAAAAAAGGTGATGGAAGTGTTTTGGAATTAGGTGGTGGTGACAGTTGCACAACCTTGTGAATAATACTAAAACCCTGCTTTTCCTACATGAAATATGCCTCAGTTTAAAAAAAGAAAATATGACTGATATATAGTGGGGAAAAAAGATTATGATTCTCTCTTTTCAAAATGTTTATATGCATAAAAAAGACCTAAAAAGCCAAAATCCAGAATGTTTTGGGTGATGGAATTAAAGATCTTGTCTCTTTAAAGAGCTAAAATAGGAGCGCCTGGATGGCTCAGTTGGTTAAGATCTGACTCTTGATTTCGGCTCAGCTCACGATCTCCGTCATGAGATGGAGCCCTGTGTTGAGCTCCTGGCCGGGAGTGGAACCTGCTTAAGATTCTCTCTCTCTCCCTCTCCTCTTCCCCTGCTCACACACACACTGTCAAAAAAATAAAAATAGAAAGATTTGTTAAAAGTAAACCAGAGATTCTTGGAATTTGAGCAAATCACAATGAATCACTGATTTTTTTCTAGTTTGTGCACAAGACAGTCCACCACAACTGGCTTGGAAAAAGCTTGACTTGAATGAATCAGAACACAAAGAACCATGACTGTACCAAAGAAAGACAACACTGTACCATTTTCATGGAGGTAAAAGTCCCAAAGGCAGGGACATGAGCACTATTGCCTACTGATATACATGATGTTAGATAATTCAGCTGTGGACATGTGATTTTTGTCATCTCTCACGTACCTATGGTAAGAGAGGGTTTCCTTTGGTGAACCCACTCCATGTGGTTGGTCAGGGTTGCCGGGCCACCCTACCTGGCAGGCCACAGAGATGGTTCTGGAACGGGCAGATGGCCCCAGCCCAGCCAGCCCTTCCCCCATTGGGGCTCTCAGGAAAGAGTGCCTCCGGCCACTGCACAGTGAAGCTAAGACTACAGGGGCTCAAAGCTGCTGCTGTCAAAGTGTGTGATGTATACTGTCTGGAGAATAAAGCCAATCCGGAGAAAGACAGAATGAGAGGTGCAGAGAGAAAGACGGAGCCGGAACGACACAGGGCAGTACCCAGGACCTCGCCTGGACTGAGGCCTGCTGTATCACAGGCTCCAGTAACGTGAGCCAACACGTTCTCTTTGACATAAACAGACTTCCAGGGCTCCAATATAAGGTGCCCGACTAATGAGTGCCTTCTTGTAAACACGTGAGGGGCCTGCAAACCGGCTGCTGACGAACCTTCGTGGACCAGGCACGGGGACAGATGGAGAAAGGGAGATGAAAGGATGACAAGAGAGAAACGGGCTACAGAACAAAGGCTCATATACAAGTTCAAAAGCAAAGTTATTTTCAGAGGGTAACTTAACTTTTGGAGCCAGACTAACTGGGTTTGAATCCTGACTTGGCCACTTACAACCACAAGGTCAAGCCTGTTCACCTCTTTGTGCCTCAGCTTTCTCACCTGGCAAATGAGGATGAGGACAGCACCGACCTCACCGGGGAGGTGAATGTGAAGACGGAATGAGTTACAGCAGGGTTTGACACAGGACAGGCACTCAATGCAAGCACCAGTTATTGTGAATACTGTTATCGAAAGAACCCAAAGTTACACTTCTACCTTCAAAATAACATGTTTACAATAACTTAACAATCATTCCTTAGGAAAGGAATGTGGTGTTTTAAAAGAGACTCTGCTCTATCGATACAATGGACTGTTAACAGAGCCTTACAAGGAACAAAGTACCGTGAGGTGCCATGACCTGGATAAGCCTTGACAACATTACACGAAGTGAAAGAAGCCACATACTCAGGCCACACATTGTATGATTCCATTTATGGAAAACATACAGAAGAGACAAATCCACAGAGACAGAAAGCAGATCGCTGACCGCCAGGGCAAGTGAGTAGGTTTCTTTTCAGCGTGACAGAAATGTTCTGGAATTAGATAGTGGTGATTACTGCAAAATATAATGAATACACCCCAAACCACAGGCATATACACCTTAACTTGGTGAGTTTTAAGTGAATTATATCTCAATTTAAGAAAAAGAAATTGAATTTCTCTTTTAAAAGTCTGTATTATCACCTATGGAATTACATCTTGCCAAGCCACGCTCATGTTAAGCAGAAATCGCCAACTGTGCTAGTCCTGTTAATACGGAATGAGAGGTTACAGAAACTGTGGCTTATTTCTGAGAAATGTAGCTGCCTCTATTAGACCACCTAAAGTTGACCTGGAAATCTTAAAAATAGTAATAATAAATGATAAAAGCTGTACTTCTTGTTGTAACTTTTTCACCTTAAAAATCTGTTGGGGGGTGCCTGGGTGGCGCAGTCGGTTAAGCGTCCGACTTCAGCCGGGTCACGATCCTCGCGGTCCATGAGTTCGAGCCCCGCGTCAGGCTCTGGGCTGATGGCTCAGAGCCTGGAGCCTGTTTCCGATTCTGTGTCTCCCTCTCTCTCTGCCCCTCCCCCGTTCATGCTCTGTCTCTCTCTGTCCCAAAAAAAATAAATAAATAAATGTTGAAAAAAAAAAAAAAAATCTGTTGGCCTTGTTCTTAGCGAGAGAAAGCACATGAAATTTCACAGATTCTCTCTGACAAATACTGGAATATTAGCCAAACGGACTCTATCAGATTAAATAAAAAGAAACACAGTGCCTGCTCCCTTTGACATAGTCAAGAACAAGTAAAAGATACTAAGAACACAGTGTTTTATAGCATCACCCTGATCTTGGGGAATCCAAGTAATTACAGCAAGTAAGGAAGGGTAGTCCAAGTTTACAGAATCACAGAGACTGTGGATGAACACATGTGCTTCTAAATCACCACCTGAGGGGAGGTACGACCCGTGGTCCTCTGTCAGTCTCATCTCCGCTTGTCCCAACACATCAGACGCCATTTAATTCTGGCCTTCTCCCACAGACTTTGCCTGTTTGTTAATCCTCTGCTTTAACACCTGTCTCTTCCCTAGCTCTCGCTTGACTTCAGGCTATTTCCAGTGAAAGACAACAGGCACATCATCGGGGAAGATCTTTTAAAATAAGTATCTTATCACATTTCCAGCATGATGAAACAAAATCCTGAAGGAAGTTCACAATTATCTTTGAAAAATAAGTGTAGGAGAAGAAATTTCACTCAGTAAGAATTTATCTCTAAATTATAAGCCCAAGACAATGAGACACATTGGTTGAAAGAATTTAGGAAGCACATCAGCAAGAAGGAATCCACGGCCTTCGTGTTTGAAATACGGAAGATTACAAGTGGAGTTTATATGACTAAAAAGGCGGCTTCTAACCAATTACTACTTCTGAATGTTAAAGGAATGCAACCAGTAACAAACAATAAGAGGAAAACATTAACAAGGAATAAGAGACAACTGGGTGCCCGGGTGGCCCAGTCAGTTAAGCGTCTGATTTTCAGGTCATGATCTCGCAGTTAGTGAGTTCAAGCCCCGGGTCGAGCTCCGTGCTGACAGCTCAGAGCCTGGAGCCTGCTTCAGATTCTGTGTCTCTCTCTCTCTGCCCCTCCCCTACTCGGGCTCTCTCTCTCTCAAAAATAAATAAACATTAAAGAAGGAAGGAAGGAAGGAAGGAAGGAAGGAAGGAAGGAAGGAAGGAAGGAAGGAAGGAAGGAAGGAAGCAGGCGACAATGAATGAGAATAAATACCATGCTTTGTAAACCTACCGAAAATCAATATCCAGTAAAAGGCTTTTAATGTTAGACTTCTCGTCACCTGATGCTTTCAACCTGATCAGCTCATGCAACCTAAAACAATTAATGAAAGCAAATTTAATAAGGAATTACAAATGCCATAGATAATAAGCAAATAAACCAAAAAAAACCCAAAAAACAAAAACAAAAAAACAACACAAAACAAACAAACAAAAACCCACCAATGTTCTCCTGGTATTTCTAATATTTCAATGAAACAACTGAAGTGAATTTGGCAAATACAACTGTTTCAGTTTTCAAGTATTTTTTAAAAGGTAGAACGTATTTGAAAAAGAGAAGTCTAAAATTGTAAACAAGTCAAGAATCAAATCAGAAGGAACCTTCCATCATATAACAGAATTCTATAAAGGTTTCTCTCGAGGAGCACCTGGGTGGCTCAGTCGGTTAAGCATCCGACTTCGGCTCAGGTCACGATCTCAACAGTTCATGGGTTCAAGCCCCGCGTCAGGCTCTGGGCTGACAGCTCAGAGCCTGGAGCTTGTTTCGGATTCTGCATCTCCCTCTCTCTGCCCCTCCTCTGCTCATACTCTTTCTCTC